CGTCTCACGTGAGGCGGTTCCGGGAGACGTTTCGGCCTGAGGCTTTCCTCAGTCGATCCGAAACATAATTTGGTCCTTCGAGCCGGATCGAAGTGATAGTTTCCGTGGTTATACTAGAGAGTAACGAACAGTTTAACTCCCAATATGACCGAGGCGCTCGAACATCAAGTTCAATTGCTCCGGCAAATCGACCGGTCGCTCGATAACTTTAAAAAGATCGGTAAAAACAATTACACTGCCGCGAAAATCCGAAATAGACTCAGTGCTTTGAAGGAGTTGTGGGCGCAAGTTCAAACAGGCCACGCCAAGCTACGGTGCACGGTGTCGATGGAAAGTCAGAAGACCATCGAATACTTCAAGGACAATCATTTCGAGGTCTGTGAGGAGCTCTACCTCCGTACCTCCGATTATATGTCCGAATGTCTGGAAGAGGTGGAGCCAATCGTAAGTCCGAATACGTCAACTAATCTGGAGAACTCAAGTACAAGCTCGTCCTCCGCATTCTCGGTATCCCATCTTCCACCGATCAGTCTTCCACCGTTCGATGGTAAATTTGAGGAGTGGGAAAGCTTCCGCGATCGATTCACGTCGCTAATCATCCAGAACAAGGAGCTCAAGGATTTCGCGCGTATGCACTTTCTCACGTCCAGCTTAACGGGTCGCGCTCTCGAGTGTGTTCGCAATCTACCGGTGACCGCGGACAATTTTAAAATCGCGTGGGACACGCTCAAATCGCGATTCGAGTGCAAGCGGAGGCTCATTAACGTTCATCTCACGTCGTTATTGAATTTGCCGGTCATTCAACGCGAGTCCGCTCTGGACCTGCAAGGTCTTCGCGATAAGACTAACGCCACGAGAGCAGCGCTCACCAACTTGAAACGCTCTCCCGAGGAGTTATGGAACGACATGCTCGTGTGTCTAGTGTCGCAAAAGTTGGATCCTGTCACGCGAAAAGCGTGGAAGTTAAAAATTAACGACGCCACTACGGTACCGTCATACAAGTCATTGGATGACTTTCTTGACACGCGAGTTCGAGCACTCGAGGAATGGAAGCCGCCCCTCTCGGCCCCGGAGAAATCAACGAAATCATCGCACGCACAGAAAATTACAAGCGCAACCGCTAACGCAAAAGCGCCATTGCAATGTTCATTGTGCAAATCCAATCATTTGCTTCATGCATGTCCGCAATTTGCCAAGAAGAGTACGAGTCAGCGTCGCGATTTCGTAAAACAGGACGGCTGTTGCTTTAATTGCCTAAGCAAAGGTCACGCGATTCAAACGTGTGCGAGTAAATATACTTGTCGGCAATGTAAGAAAAAACGTCACACGTTGTTACACGATGACTCGAGCTCTTCTTTTCAACTCGACGACGTGACGTCGTCGAGCCAATCGGAAAAGTCCGCAGAAATCAAATCTGCGGAAGTAAATTCGTTGTGCGCCTCCACAAGGCAACCTCGGCGATCGCACGTACTGTTAGCTACCGCTCAAGTTACCGTCAGCGCGCCTTCCGGTCGCTCAGTATCTGTAAGAGCCTTGCTCGACCAAGGGTCAGAAATGACCTTCATAACGGAAAAACTTGCGCAAAGTCTATTGTTAAAGCGACTTCGAATGCCGATTTCAATCTCCGCCGTCGGAGGCATCAAAGTCGGCACATGCCGGCACGCCGCGCATATGACGATTTCGCCGCGGAACGCATCTACGCCGAGGTTCTCGACGACCGCGTTAATATTGAACACACTAACGTCCTATTCGCCAAAGCGCGTTCTCGCGGATTCTGTGCTCAGCCAATTTCGAGATCTCTCGTGGGCTGACGATGATCCCATGAGCTCAGAACCAATAGACATTCTACTGGGTGCCGATCTATATGGGGACCTCATTCTGGAGGGAATTGCTAAATCGACGGTCGGGCGGCCTATCGCACAAAACACAGTTCTCGGGTGGGTCATCTCAGGGCCTACTGCAGATTCCGGCGCTTCAATTCATGCGCATTCACTGTCGTCCGGAAGCGATCGAGCCTGCGATCAAATTTCTTTCCTGCATTGCTTCGGTGATCAGTCGCTCGATCGAGAGCTTCAAAAATTCTGGGAAGTTGAGGAAATCCCTCGCCGGGGTTTTATGAGTCCCGAGGATGAGAGGTGCGAAGATCATTTTCGCGCAACTCACTCTCGTCAGCCGGACGGCCGTTACGTTGTGCGGCTGCCGTTCAAAACAAATCCGCCGATAAACATCGGCGAGTCGCGGTCTCGAGCGAAAAGCTGCCTCGCTCACTTATTGCGGCGCCTTCAGGCCCGCTCGGAGCACAAGAAAGAATATTCGGAATTCTTACAAGAATATCTAACTCTCGGTCACATGCAGAACGCGGACCATCTAACTTCACCAAACGCACAGTGCGTTTTTATCCCTCACCATCATGTTATTCGCGAAGATAGTGCGACGACTCATTTGAGAGTCGTATTCAATGCCTCGAGCCCGACCACAAACGGGTCTTCTCTAAACGACCACCTTTTGGCTGGTCCCAAACTTCAAAACGACTTGCCCTCCATAATTCTAAAGTGGCGACTCTTTCAGTACGTATATACCGCGGACATTACTAAAATGTATCGCCAAATTCGAGTCGATACCCGCGACGTAGATTACCAAAGGATCCTCTGGACAACGAGCGAATCCGACCAACCGAGTGAATTTCGCCTTCTAACGATCACGTACGGAACGGCATGCGCCCCGTTTTTAGCGCTTCGCGTTTTAAAACAGTTGGTCGACGACGAAGGTCGTGACTTTCCTTTAGCGGTTAATGTGTTACACGACCAAATATACGTGGATGATGTGCTGTTCGGCGATAGCGATCCTCATCGTCTACGCCTCATTCGCGACCAGCTCCGGGAGCTACTCCAACGCGGCGGGTTCGAATTGCGCAAATGGGCGAGTAATACTCCGTCGCTATTATCGGATATCAGCCCGGACAATCACGGCCTCGCCTGTCAGAAAACGTTGCAACCGGACAAAAATTTAAAGGTGCTGGGGATAGGGTGGACCCCGGCGTCTGATGTATTTCGTTATACAGTCTCTCTCCCTCCCGTGATACCGCGATCCAAACGCCTAATTCTTTCGACGATCGCTAAACTATTTGATCCGCTGGGTTGGGTGACTCCAGTGACCATAAAAGCAAAAATTTTCCTGCAATATCTGTGGCGACTAAAGTTAAATTGGGACGACGAACTTCCGACAGAACACGTTCCAAAGTGGACCGCGATCTATTCCCAGTTAACCGCGCTCAACAAGCTCGATCTGCCGCGATGGATGGGAACCGACGCGCACGCTAGCCAGTATGAGATTCACGGATTTTCAGATGCCTCATCTGCCGCCTACGCCGCGGTCGTCTATCTGAAGACAATATCGGATTCGGATCAGACCATGATTTCGCTGGTTATGGGGAAATCCAAAGTCGCTCTTATCAAACCGATGAGCATTCCTCGGCTCGAGTTAGCTGCCGCTGTCTTACTTTCCAAGTTAATCCAATATGTGCAAAAGGCCCTTCAGATCAGTACGATCAATTCTTATTGTTGGACTCATTCAACCGTTGTTCTCGCGTGGCTCCAACAGCACCCGTCAAGATGGAAAACATTTGTCGCCAACCGAGTCCACGAGATTCAGTCAAATCTCCCGACCACCATGTGGCGTCACGTGCCTACACTCGATAACCCAGCCGATTGCGCTTCTCGCGGCGTGCTCGGGGACGACTTGGTAACGCACGCCTTATGGTGGAACGGCCCACCGTGGTTAAAGCTTTCTTGTGACCACTGGCCTCCGCCCACATGTGCTACTCATTCTGACTCAGAGTTGGAGCAAAAAGTCACAAGTCACTCTGCTCATCCAAAATTCGAGTGGGATCTTCAAGCTAAGTTCTCTTCATGGCATACTTTGATTCGCGTGACTGCCTATGTCATGCGATTCGTCACTCTCTGCCGCCGGAAAACCGATCCTGTCACTCCTCGCCAAACCACCGGTATCGCGCTCCACGCCGATGAGTGTCAAGCGGCCAGAGTGTTTTGGTCCGCCATATTCAAACCGATGTGTTTCTCAAAAAACTTAGAGCCCTGAGAAATCAATCTCAGTTATCACCAAAAAGTTCAATTGCAGCACTCCATCCCTTTCTTGACAAAGAGGGTCTTCTGAGAGTCGGAGGGCGCTTGAAAAACGCTCCACTTCCATTCAAACGAAAATATCCGATTCTTCTCGCTTCTCATCCGCTGGTGACTCTTCTTGTCAGAACCACGCATATTCGATCGCTCCACGCGGGTTTACAGTTGACGTTAACAAAGCTTCGACAGGAGTTTTGGATACTGCGCGCGCGCACGTTGGTCAAGTCGGTCATCTATCAGTGTGTTACTTGCACTCGCAAAAAGGCCGCCTCTCCGTCGCAACTTATGGGGGACCTTCCGACTCCGCGAGTTACCCCGTCATCTCGGAGCTTTCTACATTGCGGCCTCGATTACGCCGGACCAGTCCAGATTCGCATTTCAAGCGGTCGCGGTATCAAATCGCGTAAGGCATACATCGCCTTATTCATATGCCTCGCCAGCAGAGCAATTCATTTAGAACTGGTCGGCGATTACACGACGTCCGCCTTTTTTGACGCGTTCTCGCGTTTCTGCGCTCGTCGAGGACTTCCGCGGGATATGTACTCAGACAATGGAACGACGTTCGTCGGCGCCGACAAGGAACTGCAACGAGCCTATCGTGCGGCGATGCAAGATTCAAATTTCCGTAACGCTACCGCCTCCGACAATATTGCCTGGCACTTCCTTCCTCCTTCCGCGCCTCATTTTGGAGGACTGTGGGAAGCAGGCGTCCGTAGCGTCAAATATCATATTCGACGAATTCTTAAGAATGCGACTCTCACGTTCGAAGAGTTCACGACGCTGTTATGTAGGGTGGAAGCGTGCTTAAATTCTCGGCCTCTCGCACCGCTTCGAGATACCCCGGATGATTTCGAAATTTTAACGCCCGGTCATTTCCTCATCGGATCCGCGCTTAATGTCAGTCCAGAACCTTCCGTGTTGAATCTCAAGGAAAATCGATTGTCTCGCTGGCAGCTAGTCAGGCATATGACCGAGAGATTCTGGAATCTATGGCAGACAGATTATTTGAATACACTACAGCAACGCACGAAATGGAAGACTCAGAAGCCTTCTGTAAAGGTCGGACAAATGGTGCTTTTGAAGAATTCCACACTCCCACCCTGCAAATGGGAACTCGGTCGCATTCTTGAGTGTCATGCCGGATCCGACGGATTAACTCGCGTCGTGACTATCAAGACCGCTACGTCAGTGTTCAAACGACCGATCGTTAAAATATGCATCCTCCCAGTCGATACTGAAAGTCCATCCCGGTAGCGTGCCGCCGATAATTCATTACTGTCTTTTATGTATCGCACGTAGAGTTAAGTTCTTTCTAGTAAGAATTTTTTGTTGTTGTTAGCTTTAAGTTTTGTGTGTTTTTCTTTTGATTTCAGGATCGTTGCAGTTCCAAACTTCATTAATATGTTTGTTTAATTTAGGATCACACGGCGGGCGGATCCACCGTACACATCACCGGCGATTTCAAGTATCTAGTTGCCGCTAAGTTGAAACCGTTGTTTCAAGGCGGGCGGTATGTTCGCGATCGAGCGAGTCGCACGCGTCGCTCGCGCGCGCCGCGAGCGCGGGTCGCGAGCTCGCATCTTGAGCAGAGCGTGTCACGTGCCGCTCAGCTGTTCGTCGATCGCGTTCGGGCAGCATTCGGCAAATCTGTCATCAAATACGACGAATCGTATCGCAAGTCGCCGACGCCAGCACGAGTTTCGCCGAATTGCCCTCTCCCTCGTCCCGAGACGAGGATACGCGGCTCATCTAGATTTTAACGCGTTGTAAGCGGACACAGTAGTTTTGCGAGTCGATCCGATCAGTCAGAGGAGTTCAAAAGTCCGAGTCTTCGAGTCACAAATCGAGATCTACCGCGATCGAGCCCTTCGGTTCTTCTACGAGTGTCG